AATCTAATAGTATGTATAATAGTATCTCAATAGTATCTCGTTTTGATTCGAATCGCCCATTAAGTAAGTTTTTCTTTTCTCCCCAAATTTAATTTTTTAAGTTTTAAACCATTTAATTTTTTTTTTTTTTTTTTTTTTTTTTTTTTTTTTTTAATTATGGGATTTCTTTTTCTTTTCATTCTTTTTTTTTACTTGTTGTTGTTGTTGTTGTTGTTATTTAAATATATTTATCAAAAAGTGTTATTATGCATCTTCCGGTTGTTATTATTCGAATACAATAGGGTGTGTTTCATAATATTTTGTTGTTGAGAGAAAAAAGATAGAATTGCATTAATATTGTGTATGCATTAATAATCACACACACATATTACATACACGTGCATCTTTCTCTCTCTCTCTCTCTCTCTTTTTTTTTTTAATAATATCGAACGATCGAATCAACGAAGATTGACTACTTGTAGTATTAGGATTATTTTTATTTATACTTTTATAATAGTATAGTCTAAAGAACGTAAAACCATTGAACGAGTCTTCAGTATATATAAGAATATATATGTGTGTGTATGTGTGTGTATGTGTGTGTGTATGTTCATACTCGAAGTGCAAGGCTTGCTTTTCCTAGGCTTTATACGTTTTCCCTCTCTCTCTCTCTCTCTCTCTCTCTTTCTCTCTTCTTCTCTTTCGTAATCACATTGTCGTAGTCATCGAGTTATTTAACCACGGTTTAATCATTTTGTATTTAGTTGTCTACGCCAATTCATTGTTTGTATATCTCTCTTTAGACTTTCTCCTCTTGTTGATGATTCCACTCTTCTTCTTTCTCTCTCTTTATATCTATCTCAAAAATGATAAAAACATTATCTATTTTTTTCTTCTTGCCAACTGTCGAGTTAATCTAAAAATAATTTCGCGACTAGGTAGGATGATAGTTCGTCGTCGTCGTCTTTGTCGTCGTCTTTGTCGTCGTGTGGTGTGTTCGTAAAATTTATTCGCGTAATCATAGCAAATAGTTTTTTTTTTTTTTTTTTTCCTTCCTTTTCACCATCACGAAAAATTTCTTTTTATCCCAAATAACCAAAGATCCTCTACGATACGATTAAAAAGATAGAAAGATAGAAAATAGTTTATATATATATATATATCTAACGAATTAAAACAAATTTCTTTAATTGCTTTCGTATTTTTATCTATTTCTCTAATTTTTTATTCTTATTTCTTTTCTTTTTTTTTTAATATGAAAAAGGACACTAGTAGCAAGGATTATGAAAAATGTATTTTTGTTGTCGTTTGTGTTTTCCCCGGTTTAAAAATCATACTTTATTCAATCGTTAAGCTCTCAAAAGGAAAATCCATCCTTATAATTTTTTTTAATCGTTTCACAAAGAAAGATGATAATGATAATTAATTAATTAATTAATAATAATAATAATAATAACAATGATATATAGAAACTCGTCAAAAAAAGAACACAAAACAACAAAACAGAGTTAGATGAAGAGGGGGGGGGGAGGGGGCGAGGGGGTAATCAAAAAGCAGATTAAACAAAAAAAAAGTAGAAGTATTACATATTATATGCATATGTAATTGCAATGATTTTCACGCATGGTTTTAATGATCGCAAAATGGACAAATGCATAAAACATTTTCAAACGATTCGATCTTGAAGAAAGTTTGTTTAAGTTATTGCATTATTTTTGCATAAGGTTATTGAAATTAAGGGTGGTGAGAGAGAGAGAAAAATAAAGATTAATGTAGATACAGAGATAAAGATAAAGATAGAGTTAGATAAGCGTGAATAGTACTCTTTGTATATTCTTGTGTGCTTGTGCTTTCGTGCTTTAGAAAAATCGGTCTCTCTCTCTCTCTCTCTCAATCTCTCTTTCTCTCTTTCTCTCTTTCTCTCTTGAAAGAAAAAGGCGTAACTTTACTAAATGAATCATCGAGAAACTTCTTGCTCGTTCTCGTTGTATTTTTATTATCTATACAGTAATATGAATGTATGTATGTATGTATGTATGCATTATGCACTTTCGTTAAAGAGAGAGAGAGAGAGAGAGAGAGAAGGGGAGAGAAATTCTATTAGTGAATTTAAAGTTACTTCAACAGAATTTTGTTTTAACACTTTCGTCAAGTTTCATTTTATCCGATAAAAAAAAGTGTAACGAAATGATAATCGTTGCTTCCTTTTACCGTCACCACCACCCTTCTCTTCTTCCTCCTCCTCCTCATCCTATTTCTTTTTTTTTTCCTCGGCTACTATACCACCCCTTCTTTGATCTTAAATTGATCCTTGATAAAAGATGTCGTCGTAGCGAAGAAAGGAAATATTAATAAATTTCGATGCGCTTTTTTGTATAAGCGATTATTACTTGTATTTATTCGTGCAAAAGGCACGGGCTTTTTATATATATATATATTGACTAATCACAGCTGCTTAAAAAATCCGTTCGTTGCTCGTAGAACGATTTTATTTTTTATTTTTTATTTTTCTTCTTCATTTACTTGCTTTTCTATAAATCACAGAATTTTTTTTTTTAATATATTCATTAACAACATTTTTTGTCCTCTATGTTGTTTTATTTAAATATTTAATATTATCATTATTATTTTATTAAATATAAAT